TAGAAGGGATCCTGCTCAGCAAAATAAGTCAGAAAGAAAAAGAAAAATACCAGACGGTCTCACTCATAGCAGGAATTTAGAAAACTTAAATAAGAAACCAGGAAAAAAGACTAATCAATACAAAGTAAAAATCAAAATCAACAAGCAACTATAAACCAGAGACACACTATGGGGGAGGGGGGAGGGAGGGGCGGGGAGAGGAATGACTAGAGTCAAAATAAGAGGGGGTGCAATTGTATGGGGAACATAACCATAATGAAAATGCATACATTATGTAAAGATGAAAAATGATGTAAGAATTATATAAAATAAAATATTAAGAAAAAGAAGTACCTGCAGAATGAAAAGGTGATTTTTGATAAGACCCCTTCATTAAGGGCCGCCTCACTGCGAGCTCAGATCTCTACCATTTATTAGCTGTATAATCTTGGACTCGTTAACCTAACACTCGCCTGCCTCCTATTTCCCATCCGTAAAGCAGAATTGTAATAGTAGCTACATACATCATAAGGTTTTAGAAAGGTTCTTACATGTACAGTACTAATTTCTAGAATAATCCTATTAAAATGTTAGGGATGTCATTTTTGGAGTCAGTGGGTTTGGAGAGCGTGGTCCTTGGGTTCACTCTGGGAAAGGTGTCCCTAGAGCTCCCCTTTCAGGGGCACGTGGGGAGTTTCCAGGGGAGTTTCTCTGCGAGACAGAGACGATAGTTATATTTAAAGGGCAGGTTTATTAGGGAAAGGGACAAAAGAGTAAAAGACACTTGCATAGACACCAGCGAGCAGGAAGAGCTGTCCTGAAAGGACAGGTTTGCTGAGAGAGGCCTGCATGTTTGCAGGCGTGGGGCCTTGAGGAGAGTGGCCTTCGCTGAGGGAAGTCAGTGCAGAGAAGCCCCGGCCTGGTCGCAGGTCACGTGCAGGCAGGAGGCTGCTGCCCTGCGGAGGGGGAGAGTTGGTGAAAATGTTATTAGACAGGGAGAGGGGCAGCCCAAACCCCGCAAACCTGCCTATTCTAAATGGGTTCTGCCATCCGCCGCATCAGCACAAAACATAGGAGACTTTAATGGGAAGGAACTTTAATAAAAACTAGGAAACAATACAGGTAAGGCAAAGAGTCTAGTTTCTAAATGAAGCACCCAAAGTTACCCGTCCCCTCGTGGGTAAAACTCCATCCATATGGGATCGGCCCAGAGCAAGGCCCCAAAGCCTGCCACAAGTCTAAAGCATCTTCCAGTGGGGACCCACAGAAAAGAGTCAGAAACAACCAGACAAGCCCGGAAGGAAAAGAGCAAAATCAACATCAAGATAAAAGCTGCCATTGTCACCCCTCATGAGTCTCACCCACATCTGTGTCACCCCGTCCACGACCAAAAGACAAGCGCAGTTTCTTCACGTGTCTCTAGGCTCCATGCGCCTCCTCCAGGTCTCCTTCTGGCTCCATCCTGCTTCCTTCCTCAGTCTCTTCTTCAGCTTCTCCTCTTCCTGCTCAGCTCCACCCTCCCTTGGGTGGGGCAGGGAACCTCCCCCTTTCCTGGGGACCACCCTGTTACAAAAAGAGGCACCTGCGTCGTCACAGGTGGGCAGAAGAACTGCTGTCCCTCTGTGGCGCAGGGTTAGGTTTTATCACCTTCTTTGGTAGGGAGGGGCTCATCTTTGTGGGGGGATGGTTTGTTCCTTAATCTCTTGATCTTCACCTTCAGGTCTGTGCTCCTCACACTCCCTGCAGCATCTGATAGTTTCTATAGCTGGATTTATGGCTTAGTTAATCCCTTCTCCCCACCCCCCCCCCCACCAGCTCTTGTCATTGTATGAGTCAGGTTTCTTATCTTGTGGCACCTCCTTTCCAGTTTTTCTATTCCTTTTTTTTTTAAAAAGATTTATTTATTTATGCATACAAGAACTGGGGTACAGGCCAGAGGTGTGGGGGTGGGTGAGAGGATTCACCAGAGACAGAGCGGGGAATAGAACAGGAGGATCAACTGAAACACACTGCTGAGGGGAGCAGCGGGAGAGTCAAGAGAGGTCTGCTGCACCATGTGGGTAGCTCCCCTGCTGGCCGGGATCGAACCCATGCTTCAGAGGCTGTGGACATCTTCACAGCACTGCACTCAGCCACCTGCATCACCAGAGAGGCCCCAATACAGGCCCCTTAATGAGCTATGTTTAGTATAAAAGACCCTAGAAATAAGCATTTCACTCGTACCTATTCAGGTGCCCCCTCCCTGTCACTTTGGGAGGAGCTTTTCTGCTTTGCTATTGCTGAATAAACTTTCTAAAACTCATTCCTTGTGGTCCATGTCCTCAATTTTCGTGGTATCAGACAAGAACTCCTAGACACTGTGCAACAGTAACAGCTCCAGGAGGCCATGCATTCTGGTGTGAACACCAAAAGATGGGACAATTTGATCAACAAGAACAAGCAAGGAATCCTATTCTCACTTTTTTTTTTGTATTAACCAGCCATTTACACTGCAGATGATAACACAGAAGAAAAGGGAAATGTAAGGTGTTGCAGGGAAAATTGGGGTGTTGGCTGAAAGCTCAGGGCTGAAGGAAATCACCACAGACAGAATGAGGGCCAGAAATGGCAGCTTTGGGTCCTTCCTGGTGGTGCAAGGGGTCTTAACACAGCACTATGAAGCAATCCGCAGCCACTGCAGCACAAGTTCAATCCCTGGCCAGCCAGGGAGCAAACCACATGGCACAGCAGACCTCTCCTGTCTCGCCCGCTGCTCCCCTCAGCAGTATATTTCAGTCAATCCACCTGTTCTGCTCCCTGCTCTGTCTCTGGTGAATCCTCTCACCCCCCTCCCCTACCTCTGGCCTATACCCCAGTTCTTGTATGCATAAATAAATCTTTAAAAAAAAAAATGGCAGATTTATTCAATACCCTGCAAGGGGACAAGAAGGGAGAAGTCATCTGTGCAGGAAGAAGGGCTTGAGACTCTTAGGCTTCTTTCTCCAGGCTTTCACTAGTCATCTCCTGGGATGTCTGGTCTTGGGCCTTGACCTAGGACACAGAATGTGCCCTACTCTGCTTCTGCATTCCCCAGGTTCTGCTGGTCTTGGCCAAGGTGATTGGTCTGAGGGCTGGTTCCCATAGCAACCTCACAAATTTCCTTTATCTATTCAAGTCTTCTAAATTTGCCTGCTGTGCAAGGAGTGGGGCCTTACTTTTTATCCTTATAACGATATCCCAACACTGGGTAACTGTTTTCCTTTCAGTTTATCCTTCCACATCAGTAAGACAGAGAATGCTGGTAGAATGTGTGGTATCAAAAAGTGAAATAAAAGTCTCTTGCTGCAGCAATGTGAGTGGGAGCATCCAAGCCTGGGCTCAGATCAAACTGCATGGATTATTCTAGGAAAATGTCACACAGCTGGATGCTGGGGAAATCACCAACTTGGAAGCTGAAGAAAACAGATGCCAATAGAACATCCTTCCAACTGCCTATGGGTTTCAAAATGGCTGTCCTGGAGCCCCCTGCGCTTCATGGCACCCCCAGCCAGCAATTTGTAAAAGTGTAGAGTAGGGGCCTCCCTGGGGTTGGGATGGGTTTAAAACGCAGCAGTATGAAGCTATCCACAGCAGCACGAGTTCTATACCTGGCCAGGGAGCTACCCACATGGCGCAGCAGACCTCTCCTGGCTCACCCGCTGCTCCCCTCAGCAGCGTATTTGTCCGTCTGCCTGTTCTGCTCCCCACCCTGTCTCTGGTGAATCCTCTCACGTGGCTCCTTATAATCTAATAATTCTGGTATCTTTAGTCTCTGGTGATCTAAGTACATGGTGTATTGCCTAGCAGATCTTTGTGAGCTATTTGGTTGACCTAAATTTCCAGAAATCTTAGACGCCTCCCAGAGTCCTTCGGTTAGTGTTAATGCCTGGAGGCCACAGGATCAGCAAGTTACAGCTTGTGGGCAGAAGACGGCCTACTGCCTGTTTTTCACAATTAGTTTCACTGAACCCAGTCATGCCTATTTGTTTACACATCATCTGTGCTGCAGTCGCACTATAAAAGCAGAATTGTCTTCAATTCAGGTTAATCCAGATAGATCTTGAGATAAACTCTTGGAACTTTCTGGTCTTTTATTTCTCAATTTCATTTTTGTTGTTTCTCATGCATAAATATACATAAAACACCCTGTGTTGGGGATAAAACCACCACTAATCTTAACCCCAGGATATCCTCTTAATTTCTCTTAACCACATCCTTTAAATATGTGAACATTTTTAACCCTCTGCCCCTAAGCTTTCAATATCCTCTCCTTTTTGTTTTAGTAATACTCCCAGTAAGTTTACTAAAAGTCCTTCTACATATTGAATGACAGTATTTTTTAGAACTGCAAAGAAAGTTTAGTAAAATATAAACTTAAAACATAAACTTAGGGGCCTCCCCCGGTGGTGCAGCAGTTGAGTGCTGGGCAGCAAAGCTGCCCACAGCCTCTGCAGTGCCGGTTCAATCCCTGGCGGCCGGCGAGGGTCCCACATGGCATGACAGACCTCTCCTGCTGCCCACTGCTCCCCTCAGCAGTGTATTTCATCAGTCTGCCTGTTCTGTTCCCTGCTCTGGCTCTGGTGAATTCTCTCACCCTCCCGTGCTTCTGACTGTACCCAGTGCTTGTATAAATAAATCTTTAAAAACAAACAAACAAAAAAACAAACATAAACTTAGGGCTTTGTATACATCAAGTGCTGTTCTCGTCTCACTAGCCCCTTCACATGAATGAAATCACCTGATCATTAACAGAACCCCGTGAAGTAGGCATTGTTATCCCTTTTCACACATGAGGAAACTTTACAGAGAATGTTGTTTTTTAGCCAGGGTCTGTATTGGCAAACCAGGAGTTAAATTCTGTACTACAGTTTACATCTAATCAAGGCTTTATAGAGCTTTCTCCAGGTAAGTGAACAAAAACTGATCACTACAAAAAAGTAAGGCATAATTTTATTACTGTAACAGTTCTTTCCATCACAATGAAAATAAACTTAACACACAACTTTACAAAAATAAATTTTTATTAAAAGCAGTAAAGTCTGAGCAGAAGACAGTACAAAGAGTATAAACAATGTAAACATCACTACATTCAGCTCAGCTGATCGAATGCTGAAAGACAACTCTAAATGCTCTATGTGCCCTTACTAGCAAGATACATGAACTCTATTGTACACAGAAAACACACTCTAGTTTTGACAGGAAAAAAGCATTTTATCGAAGTCGGTCCCAGCGCCAAATGCTGGCATCATCACAAACAGCTATAAGAATGCTGCTGTCCCTGCTAAAACTTGTTTGTCGAATAGCAGCACCACACTTATGATGAGTCAGTGTTGTACATCTAGGGAGAAAACATAATAGGTTAAATAAATACCATTCAAACATAACGTTGCAGCTAACACAAAATAGTGAATTAGAAAATGAATATTCATGCTATATAGAAAGCATTTAAAACAGAATACATTTCACCAAGAGCTTGATTTCAAATTTAGAAAAATTTGGATGTATTTTAAATTCAAGAGGCACCATGCATGTTACATAAAGAGAAATATGTTACCAAGGAACTCATGAAGAACAATCATTAATTAGAATTAAAAAAAATATTTTAAAATAACTCTAAGACAAGTAAATGTTCCAAACGACTTGAGGATGGCACTGCAGGTACTACTTCTATACTAGCATGACATTTTGAAGAAAAAGGCAGAAATTACAAATAGGAATTTCTAAATACTTACTTGGCTTTATGAGGATCTTCTACTTCTAAATCCCACACATAAAGTTTGCCAACCTGATTGCCCAATGCAAGCATCTGTATAGAAATTTTTAAAAACATCAAGTTTTCAAAATATAGTATTCACAGGCCTTTCTGGTGGCGCAGGGGGTTAAGATGCAACCTATGAAGTAATCCGCAGTCTCTGCAGCACGAGTTCGATCCCTGGCCAGGGAGCTACCCACATGGCACGGCAGACCTCTCCTGCCTTGTCCGCTGCTCCCCTCAGCAGTGAATTTCAGTCAGTCTGCCTGTTCTGCTCCCCACTCTGGTGAGTCCTCTCACCCCCCGCATCTCTGGCCTATACCCCAGCTCTTGTATGCATACATAAATCTTAAAAAAACAAAAAACTAAGAACTAATATCTATATTAAAAAAAACACTATTCAAGTCATCCTAAAAAATCTTATTTCAGAAAAAGCTCTAGTCTATGGTTATGTTTTTGATTATTTGTATTTCTGATTCACAAATATAATTAAGAGCAACTAACACAGTAGTTCCCTCTTACCTACATTTTAATCCTGCTGTTTTAGTCAACTGCATTCCATAATTACATACAATAAGATAGTTTTTGAGAAACCATTCACATAACTTTTTTTACTATAGTATATTATTTTTGTGAAGGTTTTTAAAATTCACATTGTTAGTATTCTTTCTTTTGCTTTAAAGAAATGTACCAAAAGCTATTTAAAAACTTGCAATACTTTGCCATACAAATAAACTCCCAAGTAATTTGTTATTGCAAAATCCTAACAATCAAATTTCTTTAAAATTTTAGATAACTAGCATTTTGTCTCTATTTCCCATGATTTTCCTCAAAGTTTTTCTAGGAAAAAGCTACATAAAAAATTAACACTATAACCAACCGACTTTAAATCTCAGTAACAAATGTAAAGTAAACTAACTTTCACTGCTGACACCTGTCAATTTCATTTACCATGAGGGCATGCAAAGCCACAATGGTAGAATAAGTAACACCAAGGGCTAAAGCAATCAATACAAAACATCAATACAAATTCTTAAACAAGATGTATATCAAAGAAAACTAAAATTACAATGGTTTCAAATAAAATAATTTTAGAATGCAAAATATGTTGCTACCTTTTGCCAGAAATCCATAGAAAACCTCATGTACCAAATGTCACACTGGCTGTAATCAAATCGTCCAAGAATAGTCACATTGGACTCGCTGGGTTTAATTTTATCTATATCATCTTCCATTTTGCCAGGTTTCCAGCATACAATGGCATTTTCACAAGACTTTAAAAGAGAGAGAAATGAGAAAAAAGAAGTATTACTTGTAGAACTGAAGTCTAAATATTAAAAACAAAGTTCTTTCCCTATTATCATTTGTGAATTGTCAGCTCTAAAAACTTAGTCATCCATCTAAGCACAATGACATACATTCATTCATATTTACAGAGTCAGTGTCCACACTTAAAGACAGTAAGTTTGATTATCAACAGAATTTGACAACACAAAAGCATTACACCATCTGGAATATTCATTTTGGAAATCATGATTTCTCTTCCAGATCAAACCAAATTCGACTCCAGATTCTTTGGCATCCAGAGACAAAAGTGCTTTACAGCAAGATAAAAATACAAGCATTGCATTAGAAAACATGTTTCTTCAATGTGGCCACTTCTTACTTCATTGGTTTCATCTTTCTCCAGCCAACTGCCCATCCCACTCCTTTACCTAGATGACTATTAATCTTTTGTCTCCAGAATCTGTGCTACATTGTAGGTGTTTAACAGATATTGTAGGAAAGCTAATGAATTCACAGAAAGGGTCACAGAAATCAAATTATATAAGGCAATAAAAGCAGTGGTTTAACATCACAACACTAATATGGGGGTGGAAAGGAAGACTGAGATACACCTTCCTCTATCCTGTGACACCAAATCTTTGCACATGTGGTACTTAAGCAGCAAGCAGTAAAGAATGCAAAGGAAAAAAAATCACACAATACTGGGCACTCTCCATCTTACTGTGTAGATCGATGGTTTGTCTATTAAGGCTAGAGACCAGAGACTCTGCTGAGTATCTTACAATGCACAGGAGAGGCCCTCCATGAAAAAGAAACAGCTTGTCCAGCTTAATGGGTCAGGACTGAGAAGCCCTACTGTAGATGAAGAGTGGAAGACAGAATCTACTGGATCACATGTGACGTCCCTGTGGGGTCCAGTGGCATCTGGACGGCTTTACAATAGGGCTACAGGAAGATTAGGGAAGAGGCAACACTTTTTTTCTTTTCTCTGCATTTTTCAGACTTTATAAAATCCCAGGACTATATGTTTATACATATTCTCTTACTATAATGTACCTCAGAGATCACCCAGTCTGACAACTATTAAGTGTATGATGAGATCAACAGCTTGTAGATTTTTCTCAAAGGACTTCTCTTGGCCTCTACTCCACCAAAACAGAATGTCTGAGAGAGAGGCTAACACACAAAAATTGTAAAGCAGCTCTTCTAAGTGTTTCTTACTACACTGGCAAAGAATTCTTAATTAAGAGAGTCCCTTCATGGAGAACTAAAGCACAGGAAGATAAAAAGAATTTGCCCACGCTAATAGATGGCTGCATTGGGAAAATTATCTGGAAAGTTTTTTAAAATTACAAATTCCTAGGTCTTGTGCCAGATTTAGAATATCTGGGGGTGAGACATAAGACTCTATTTTCACAATATTCTCCCAATGATTCTGCTGCAGTAGGATTTGGTACTATCAATGACAATTCATTCAGTTCAACTTACCACCTAAAATGCAAAAATCCTTTCTTATAGTTTTAAAGCTACTGGCTTTTTACTTCAGCCTCTACTTGTCCTGCTAAATTTGGCTTAAAAGTCTGAGTAGCAAACATACAGCGAAACTCTAAGACTCTAAGGTACATATAGCAGAATGGTTAGGAGTCTCTGGACATGGAGACTGAATTCTCTGACTTTCTTTTGCCTCATTAATGTATTCCAGGCAGCAACTCAGCAATGCCAACAGGTGGATCTGGGAGAGGTGGGGTGGAAATAAACCCTAACAAAAGCCTACTCTGTCTAGATAAAAGATCCAGGAAAGTGGCAACCTCGCAAGAGAGGAAATTTTCACTCTACTCCAGCCAAACATCACAGAAACAAGTGGACTCACTACCACACAAACTAGCAAAGGCCCAGAAGTAACTTTCTCAGGTGTTCAAAAGTGCACATATACCTTACCCTCCACTACCCTTTATATTAATCAGGTCACACATTTCTTCCTCTCTGGCTGGGGTGGCATCAGCTGAGGCCTAGAGAATCAACATGTTCACAGTGCGCATGCCCACCATGTCAGTACAGACTACCTGGGGAGCAGAAATGGGGCACCCTAGGCCCTGCCAGCGAGGGCGGCATCAAAGTATGGAGACACCATGTTAAGGGATCCATGACTTGCCCTGCTACCCGCAAGCCACGAAGCTGTGCTCCCTCACCCAGCTGAATATTACCAGAGGAAACCTGCTGTGGAAGGTCTACATAAGAACCAGACTTGTGATGTCAATAACAAAATCACTCATGCCAAGTAACAAAAATCTCAACTTTAATGAAAAGACAGACAATAGACTACAACATGGAGACAACACAGGCGCTTAACTATTGACAAGGAATTCAGAGCTGTTATCATAAAAATGCTTCAATGAGCAATTACAGACACTTAAAACAAAAAAAAAGTCTCAGCAAAGAAAATACAAAGAATCAAATGGAAATATCAAAACTTAAAGAAACTAAAACAAAATTAAAAATTCAACTGAAGGACCCACCAGCAAAAGATACGAAAGAATCAGTAACTTTTAAGTTAGAACAACAGAAATTTCCCAAACTGAACAAGAGGAAACAGACTTTAAAAACGACAGTCTTGGTGATGAAAGAAAAGATCTGATATTCGAAACATCAGTTACAAAAAGAGGGGAGGACGATGATAGCAAAAAAGAATTTCAATAATGGCCGTAATTTGGGCTAAATGAAGTCCTCAAAAAATCATAAATGTACTACAGGTTCATCAAAGTGAATGAACCCAGAAAAGGTAAATTCAAAAAACCCCTACTGGGACACATCATAGTCAAACTTCTGAAAATTAAAGACAAAGCAGTGAAAACAGAAGTAACACCTTGTCTACAGGGGGAAAATTAACTCCAATGAAGGCAGTTTCTTGTTAGAAAGCAATAGACCATTTTCCAAATGTTTAAAGAAAACTGTCAACACAAAATTCTATACCAGGTGAATACAATATTCAGGAATGAAGGGGAAATAAGGACAATTTTCAGACAAAGGAAAACCGAGCAGACTTGTCTCCAACAGACTTAACCTAAAAGAATAGCTACAGGAAATTTTATAATAAGAAAGGAAATGATATCAGAAGAAATTTGTAACATCAGGAAGAAGAAAGAATGGAAAAGTAAAATGAATATGTATAATATTCTTTCCTTTCCTCTTGAATCATTAAATTATGTTTGATGGTTGATACAAAAATATACATATTTATAAATTTTATGTGTCTACTGTGCATAAACATTTTACCACTTCATGTAATAATCAATATATCAAGGTTCATTCATAAATGCTCTGAACAAAGTGAAAGACAGTTTGGTAAATGGATTAAGAAAACATGTGACCCAACCACATGCCATGGACAAGAAACCCCAGATGTAAGAATACATGTGGATTAAAAGTAAAAGGTTGGAAGAAGATATAGCATGCAAACATAATCAAAAGAAAACAGGAATGGTTTTATTACTATCAGATAAAGAAGACCTCAAAGCAAAGTACAAGACAGAGATGTACATTACTTAATGATAAAAGGATCAAGCCATATTCGTTATAGCAATACTAAGTATGTAGGTACCAACAGAGCTACAAAATGTCTTCGAACTGTAAAGAGAGAGAATTAAACCACAATTATAATTGGAGATGTCAACATCTGTCTCTCAAAAATTGATAAAACAAGTAGATAGAAAATCAACAGTTACTGAAGAATGCAACCACACCACCAACAGGATGTGACAGTTACAGAACACTCCATCTAACAGTTGAAGACAATCTTTTCACACTCCCATGAACACAACTAAAATAGGGTCATAAAACAAATCTTGAGAAATTTAAAAGAATCAAGTCACAAAAAGCATATTCCAGAAATCCATGAGAGATAATAAAAAAAAAAACCTCTCAACACTTAGAAACTCAACACACTATCTAAATTTATGAGCTGTAGCTATATCAGTGCTGAAAGGGAAATTTTAGCACCATTAGAAAAGTAAAGCATCAAATTCAATAATCTAAACTACCCCATTAAACCAGTAAAAGAACAGCAGACATAAACTACCAATTTCATGAATGGAACTGGCTCCCACCAGAAACCCTGCAGATTTCAAATGAATGAGGCAATACCACAAACAACTCTGTACACATAAACTTAACCTTACACGAAATGGAACAACTCTTCAAATAGCACAAACTACCACAACTCTTCTGAGCAAATCTGAACAGAGCTTTATTAAAGAAATTTGACTTGTAACTTAAAAACACCCTTCCTCCAAATATCTAGGTACAAATTATTTAACAGGAGAATTCTATCATTTACAGAAGAACTGACATATTATACATAATTATACATAAATTCCTGTAATTATACATAAATTCCTCCAGAAAAGAGGAGGGAAAACTTGCCAATTCATTTTATGAAGCCAGTATTGATACTGAAACCAGAGAGATAGTATACAAAAACAAAATTTCAGACCAATATCATACCTCACAGGTACAGACACAAAATTCTTTAACGAAATATAAGCAGGTAGAATTCTGCAAATATAAAAAGGATGATAAAGCATGACTTATTCCAGGGATACAAGCTGGATCAATACTTAAAAACCAACCAATGTATTCCACTCCAATAGAGGATCAAGAACAACACATGATCGTATCAACTGGTATGGAAAAAGCACTGATAAAATCCAACACCCATTCATGATAAAACTCTCCAAAAAGTTAGGAAGAGACAGCTCTCAATTTGATAGAGAATACCTAATAAAAAGCACACAGCCAATACACGTAACTGTAAAAGACTGACTTCTTTCCTTCCTAACATCAGAAACAGGTCAAGGATGTCTGCTCCTAACACTATTCAACACAGGACTGAAAGTTTTCAATATAATGAGGGAAGAAAAGGAAATAAAAAACATTCAATTTAGCCAACATAATGGTTAAATAGAAAAATCCCAAGAACTTGACAAAAATACCTTTAGAAAAATAAGTAGTTCAGCTAAGTCACAGGATGCAAAATTAATATGCAAAAGCAATTGTATTTCCATACACTTGCAATGAACACATGAATGAAAATTAGAAATAGCAGTTATAATCATTCAAAAAAAAGGACATACTTAGCTATATAAATCTAACAAAACATATATGGGGCTTAATGCTTAAAAGTAAAACACAGTAATAAAAATTGAAGATCTAAAATAAAAAGACATACCATGTTCATGGACTGGAGGACTAAGCAGAGTAGATATTAATCCTCCACCAAATTGATATATAAGCTTAACACAATTCCAATCAAAATTCTCCCTCCTGCCAAAAATGCAATCAAGGCTTTTCAAAAAATAAATATAGATAGTATTCAAAAATGCAAATGAAAATGCAAGGGAACTTACATAGCTAAAATACTTCTGAAAATGATTAATAAGGTAGAATTCCAATTCTAAGGCTTATAAAGCTACTCTATTTACAACTGTGTATTTGTACGGGTGAAGTAGCCAAAAAGAAAATCCAGAAATAGTCTCAAAGGACAATTTTTGACAAAGGTGCAAAAGCAATTCAAAGAAAAGATAGTAAGTCTTTCAAGCTGAAAACAACTGGATATCAATATGCAAAAAATAAACATCTACCTAAACTTCCCACATTTAATATAAAACATAAAACTTTTAGAAGAAAATGCAGAAGAAAATCTTTAGGATTTAGGGTTTGTTAAAGAGCTTTAAAAATATAACATCAAACTATGGTCCATAAAATAATTAAAAAAAAAAATCAATAAATTGAACTTTGTCAAAATTAAAAACATGTGCTCTGCAAAAAGACCCCTATTAAGAGGATGAGAAGACAAGCTACAGGTTGAAAGAAAGTATTTTCAAACTACACACATGACACAGGATTCATAGTTAGAATATATTAAGAACTCTCAAAACTCAACAGTGAAAAAATAAAGAAAAAAAAAAAAAACCCAATTAGAAAATGAGCAAAAGATATGAAAAGACATAATTGAAAAGGATATATGGATGGTAAATAAGCACATGAAAAAGATGTTCAACACCACTAGCCATCAGGGAAATGCAAATTAAGACCATGATGCGATATCACTACACACCTATCAGAACAGCTAAAATAAAAAATAGTGACAATACCAAATGCCGGCGAAGATTCGAAGACACTGGATCTTTCTTACATTGCTGCTGGGAATGTAAAATGGCACGGCCACTCTGGAAAATAGTTTGGCAGTTTCTTAAAAAACTAAACAAACTTAACCATGACCCAGCAATTGCCCTTCAAGGCATTTAACCCAGAGAAATGAAAACTTAAGTCCACACAAAAAGCACAACTGTTTATAAGCAGCTTTATTTGTAATAGACCAAAGTGGAAAGGACCAAAATGTCCCACAATAGATGACTGCTTAAATAAACTGTGGTACATCCATACCATGAAATACCACTCAGTAATAAAAGGGAGAGCTACTGATACACATGACAACTTAGATGGCATTGTACTGAGTGAAAAAAAACAATCTTAAAAAGGTTCTACATTCTAGAAATGACAAAATTCACATGTGATAGACGCAAAACTATAAACATACATTGTACAATGCTAATTTTTTGAATTTGATATTGTAGTCTAAGTTATAGAAGTTATATATGCATTAGACAAAATTCGGTGAAGGGCAATTTGGAACCTCTCTGCACTGTCATTGATACTTTCAGTGAATATAGTTATTTCAATATCAAAAGTTTTAAAAAGGGTGGGGTGGGGGTGTGTGTGAAACTATACCCATAAAGCCAAGAAAAAATAAATTAGGTGCTGTCCAAGAAAATATGAAATGTCCTAAAATCCACATCAAGAAAAGAAACTAGATAATGATTTCTCTAAGTGTGCCACTCCTAAATGTTCAGATGACATCAACAACTTCTCTCAATTATCAGCAAAAAATTTGTAAATATATATACACCAATGTACAGCAAGGGCTCGCAAACTCCAGCTCATGAGCCAACTCCAGCAATCTCTTTTTGTATGTATGACTGAAATGCACAAACACACACACACACAAACACACATGCTACTGGCTTTAGATATTGTTTATTTTACAACATGAGGTATCAGAGAACAGTATCACTTGACAAGTTAATACTTGTCATCTTATTGGACCACAAATTTTAATTCATCAGTATGTTTTATGCCTAAAATGTTTCCAATTCTAACAAAATATCATTACACACACAAAAAAACAACCCCCCCCCCAGCAATTTCCCATCTACCATCCAATTTACCAAACTGCACAAAAAAACTTTTCCCTGAAAAATTTCAACTCGTACAAACAATGGAAGTACAGCTTAACAACAGCTACCATACCTTGGAAAGTATCAAATCACCTAACCATCGCACACAATCGACATAATTCCTATGTATGTCTCTGGTAGAAAAGTCAGGAAAGTGAATTTTCTGAGAAATAAATGGCCTGAAATGAAAATGTCAGATGTTAAGTGGAAAAAGTATAGTAGAATCACACTAATTTTCATTTTTGGATTTATAAAACACTGAAAAGTAAAATACATCGACTATTAATTCTTCTGTCTTTGTAGAACTAGATTTCTCATCTATTTACTAAAGTCTCGATTCATTTTTAAATTTTTTGCCTGAAATGAAAATGTCAGATGTTAAGTGGAAAAAGTATAGTAGAATCACACTAATTTTCATTTTTGGATTTATAAAACACTGAAAAGTAAAATACATCGACTATTAATTCATCTGTCTTTGTAGAACTAGATTTCTCATCTATTTACTAAAGTCTCGATTCATTTTTAAATTTTTTTCCATCATCTGCCTCAAATTTGATTTATAAGAATTACAACTTCCCATCACAATTTTATAAACAGTATAAAATTAATCACTTAAATTCTGGCTATCCCACCAGTGATAAGCTATTACATTACCACACTGAATGGTTCTCACAGAAAAATTCTAAGCTACCTACTCAAATCCTTTAAAATTAAACAGTAATTGTCCACAAAAGTCAACATATCTAAATTATTTCAAAAGACAGTCATCTTTACAGGAACAATGATACATCATTCCAAAGGCTGCTAAAGATAAGAACAGATGAGAGTTTTGCTTTTAGCAACACTTTTAAAATGGTGTATGACAGACATTTGACTTTAGTTAGGGCTTTTCTTGTATTTAGGAAAGTATAGCATTACGTTTGCCTTAAAGATGCTTGTAAGAAAATTATAAAAATGAGTTGCCACCAATTCTGTATTTAATTAACAGCATATCTAACATTTCTGATCTAGTGATTCCATTTCTAAACTGAAATAACTATAGATGAATGATATGCCATGAATTAGAATTAGAAATGTCTTAGGCATCTTACATGTCCTCCTTTCCTCAGATATAAAAAGGATGTTGAATTGAATCATCTCTAACATACCTACCTAACATATCTTCCAATTCAAATCCTGCAATTTTTATTAAGTTATTAAAGCTTTGATAAAAATTTTTAATGCATCTATAATTATGTTGTTTTTCATTAACATACATAGATAAGGATAGTTGTAAAGAGGTATTAATAATAGCCTGATAAGATTTTGAAAGAAGTTACTGAACCAAGAATTAAGGCATTCAAAAAGATATTTAAAAAACTGCTAAGTTCCCACACACATTATCTATGGAGCAAGAATTCTGCATTGAATTTTCTTCATTTAATAAAGTAAGAGCATCATATAAAGCAAAATATTAAATTATCATGAGTTAAAATTAAGTACCCCAACTTAAAAATTATGATTTTCTGTCTTGAATTAGAATTTACAGTGTTGACAATGCTAACATAACATATTCTGAAGGGTCATTTAGTAACACAATAAGTTTAAACAACATTAAACATCTGTAACTCCACCATGTAACTTCTCATATGTGGTATACAGAGAAAACAAACAAATGGATGAAGGAAATAAAACAAACTTTTAAACCTGTAAGGTCAATTGGTGGTTATCAGAAGGGTAGACGGGTGGTTAAGCCAGATAAAAGGAGTCAACTGTATGAAGGACAGACCTGGACTTTTAGTGGCGAACTTAATGTAGTGTATATACATATACTGATTTTTATTTTTGCATAGAAGAACTGGGGTGAAGGTCAGAGGTGTGGGAAGGGATGAGAGGATTCACCAGAGACAGAGTGGGGAGCAGAACAGGTAGACTTCACTGAAATACACTGCTGAGGTGAGCAGCAGTCGAGACAGGAGACAGAAGAGACAGGTTGTGCCATATGTGGGTTAGCTCCTTGGCCAGGGATTGCACTCAGGCCTTCGCAATGATAGCTACAGCTCTGAGACTTACTAACCCCTAGGCCATGATGGAGGTCCCACATGTTGATTTTTAATGACACACACCTTAAACTTTAAGTGAAACGTGCTACAAAAACTACAAAATGAAAATCAGAACAGTTTAAAGTGGATTTTGAACAAGAACCACAGATTAAAAATAAAGGACTTCCATTAGAAAATTGGTCAATTTTATGTTAAGTTATACTCTATTTTTTAAAAATGGGGGCTTCTAAACGCAATGTTGAGGTTTCTGTAACAATTTGGGGAAAAATAAAACACATTCATTCAACAGCATGAGATAGCACACTGTCTTAAATATCACAACTGTTACCTGTTAGTTTTATTTGGGTTATAATCGTAAGATTCCTTAATTGCATTCATCATTCTCTTTGAATTGATCCTCCAAAGTTTAAGAGAGTGATCCATACCACAGGACATTATTTTTTCACCCAAAAGATCATAATCCTGTATGTAAAACAGAAAAAATAATGTAAACACATAAATTATTTTTTACAGATTAAACCATCCAATTTTCACCTGACATATAATATAGTAAAAATTGTACTTTAAACCCCAAGATTAACATTTTGGAATTTCACCTAAAATACAGGATTGCAACTGCTTTCAAACTTAGTTTAACTGATTTGTCACCACCATAGTATATGAGTTTAAACAGAAATAGAAGAAAGCAAAATCCTTTATTTTATCCAATTATCTTTAAATACTTCCTCTGCTTGATTATGAAGGTATTAAATCAAATGCTTAGATAAAACAATTATTCTGAAACAAAAAACCTTCAGCTACATTTTTCTTTATCTAATCCTGATCAAGCAATGAAACTGATTTCTGTATATGAAACTATGAGTCTTAACGGAAATTTTATCTGTATATCTGAGTGAAAACACTTTAGTTACAAAGGTTTTAGAGTACACTTTTAAATGTATAAAGAACAAGATGTCTAAGAAAGGAAATCACATATTTTAACATTTTCATGTGCTGTTTACCTTTAATAGGCACTTAATTGGTCATCTATTCTAACAACCTTATTCTATCTTACTTCACAGACAAAACACCGAGATACAGAGATGCTATTCCATGTAGCATAGATGGTACATGTGTTAGTGAAAATCTCAAACATCAGTTCTGCTAGCGGGAAACTCCTGCATTACAGACTTTACAGACTATCTTCCAATTTCACTTTAAGAGTTAACAGAAGAGAGTTCTACATAAGGAGGGCATTTTCCTTACTAATCTGGATATCCTATCTTAATCTAATCTAAACTGATCATGAGCACTGTTTTTACAAAAGCCTAAGAGCTGTAGGTTTGGTGTTCTGAATTCACAGTTCTAGTTGCTGTTTCTCCTAATTTACTCATTTTCAACAGCAGTAAGATTCCAACAGAGTCAGCAGGGTTTTTTTTTTTCTTTTTTAAAGATTTATTTATTTATTTATTCATACAAGCACTGGGTAGTCAGAAGCCCGGAAGGGTAGGAGGATTCACCAGAGAGAGAGAGCGGGAGCAGAACAGGCAGACTGACGAAATACACTACTGAGGGGAGCAGTGGGCACAGCAGGAGAGGTCTGTGTGCCATGTGGGACCCTTGCTGGCGGCCGGGGATCGAACCGGCGCTGCAGAGGCCGTGGGCAGCTTCGCAGCCCAGCGCTCAACCGCTGTGCCACTGGGGAGGCCCAGAGTCAGCAGGTTTAATTTATAATCTTAATACAGGATGGTAGAATTAGCTCTTACACATTTAAAGCCAGATGGAGAATGTTATTGCAACTTCCAGAAAATCCAGGTTGACAGGATATCATACAGTAGGTATGATTCTTACAAAAGCGTACAAATCCCAACTATAGGAATATTTAATAACTACAATTAAAATGCCATAGGCTTCAAAATATGGTACATCTTTACACAGTTTATTGAAAGATAAATGATATACTGTAAAATGACTACACAAGCTATAAATAAAACATTTAAGCCAAATAATATAAAAATATAAAACCTAACTTAAAGCATTTGTATCATATCATTATAATAGATTATAACACCTAAAAATAAAGATAACACCGTGACATTTAAACTTCAGTGCAAGTATAATAAACCACTTCCTAAAAATGGATGACTATATTTCAATTTCAAATAAAAGGCAAAATAAAAATTAACACAGTGACTTTAGATTAATAAAGGAAAAAAATCACAAGTCATTAGTATTCTTCAGGAGTCCTGGTGCTGGTGTAAAGGGCAAGAACAGAGATAAAGCACAGAGATTAACTTGCTTTTTTACTTCACCTCTAAGAAAAAAACCCTGTATGTCACATGCATGAAAAACTGCCTGGCAGGCTCTATGAAGCAAACCATGTATTTTATAATAAAGAAAGAGGAACATGGGAATTGTTCAAAACTTTGTACACATGAAGGTCTCTGCTCTGCAGCTTTCAACTTACAGCGCTTAGAACTTCATCCCTGTGCCCTTCCACACCTCCAAATATCGCCACCAACGTGTCCGTCTGGATATTCCATAAGCGTAAAGCATGATCTAGTACAGAAAAAAAATAAGATGAACTATTATGATTCAGTCACAGGACTTTCAAAACCTCTTTAAGTAAAAACTTTAGAAGCAACTTTATATAATTATGTAACATGTAGATTTATTAGAGACTAAGGTCAAACTTTCAAAATGAAATATTCATAAGATCTTAATATTTTTAGCTCACCTCAAATAATTTCCTTTAAATATCCTGATATAAAGGAAATATGCTTTTGAGATAAGAAAATATTTATGACAAAACTAGCTTATCCCTCCACTGAATCCAAATTTACAAATTAAAGGGGACCCATGAGATTTACAAGATTTCTAGAGTAAAATCAAAAGATAATTGAAAACTACATATTTTGTGATATGTTTTATAGTATTAGAGGACTTCTTGTTACTTTTCTGCTGAATTTATTTCTGGGCAGTAAGTTTTTGTTTCTTCAGTTTCTTCTGTGTAACCTGCTCTTCTGATTTAAGAAAAATGTTGTTTTTTCTGTAAAAATATTTTCAATGTGGCAGGGAGAGCTCATGTACAGGTGAATCTGACCATTAGCTTTGTAAGTTCTGCAACATATCATGGGGGACTTGTGCACCTGGATGTGCTCAATGGCCAGAGAATCTACATCTAAACTGCTAAGTTAGGCATTTCTCGCTGCATTTTTAAGCACATGAGCACTATTTTGGGGGCACCAATCCAAGCCCCAAAGATTCATTTAATTATGCATACAAGAACTGGGGTAGAGGACAGAGGTGCAGGGGGTGAGAGGATTCACCAGAGACAGAGTGGGGAACAAAACAGGCAGACTGACTGAAATACACTGCTGATGGGGGATAGGGGGCGAGTCAGGCGAGGTCTGCTGTGCCATTTCAGTCATCTCCCTGGCCGGGGGTCGAACTTGTGCTGGAGTAGCTGTCGATAGCTTCCTTTCATTAGGTACTGACTTTCAAACTTAAACCTTGGCTGTTAAAGGAAGATCACTCTGAAGCAGTTTTATGTAAAGGTTTTCACTTAAGGCTACTCTGATATGATCAGACCTTTAAGAACTTGACTAGAATAACAATGTAAGAAATAGAAAGAACATTATGTAGAAATAGGAACCCACCTCATTTCAGAAAACTCAGAAATGATTAAGAACAATTAAGAGGTGTGTCTAAACCCAGAACAAACTTATTATGCCAACAGAGACAAAGAACTATGTAATGCTTTCTCTTTACATGTATGGGAAATACTTCAAGGAGTTATCCTGGAAAATTTAGCACTTTTAACGAATTCTATAGGGAATCCTTCATGAAATGAAAGTTTACACACACACAGCTGCAGATATATATGCAAACAGACACATAAAAAGAGCAAATTGATTTTGTAGGTACATTATTCCTTACTATATGATTGGATAGCGCAAAGACAATTTGTAAAAATAACCTTAATTAAAACTCTTAAAAATGTCATAATTTTGGTGATATGCACATAAAATTAATAAAGTTCAATAGTTCAATTGAGAATGAAGTCATAGAACTATCATATAGCAATATGGTAAATAAGAAGGCTCATATATAGCTAATCCTCAGTACTAATTTTTTTTTACATCTGATGTTAACAGTGTTATTTATTTTTACTTTTTTTAAAAAAAAGATTTATTTACTTCTGCACACAAGGGCTGGGGTACAGGCCAGAGGGGTGTGTGTGTGTGGGAGGGGTGTGAGAGGATTCACCAGAGACAGAGTGGGGAACAGTACAGGCAGATTAACCGAAGTACTCTGCTGAGGGGAGCAGCGGACGAGTCAGGAGAGGTCTGCTGAACCACATGGGTTGCTCCCTGGCTGGCCGGGGATCTAACTGCAGAGGCTGCGGACCGCTTCACAGGTGTGTCCCAACCCTTTGCGCTACCAGGGAGGCCCTATTTTTACTTTTATTATTTTTTTGAAAGATTATTTATTTATTTATTTATGCATGTAAGAATGGGTGTCTAGGCCAGAGGTGTGGGGGGTGAGAGGATTCACCAGAGACAGAGTGGGCAGCAGAACAGGCAGATCTACTGAAATACACTGCTGAGGGGAAGAGTGGGCAAGAGAGGAGAGGTCTGCTGCGCCATGTGGATTAGCTCCCTGGCTGGGTATAGAACTCATGCTGCAGTGGCTGGCAATAGCTTGATGGCGCTGAGACTTTAACCTCTGCACCACCAGGGTGGTCATATTTTTACTGTAGACTTAATGTTTTATTTACTTACTTACATGTTTGTTAATTTGGGGATGGTCTCTGACTTCTCCCCACCAGGTGTGATTCCTGTAGTTCTCCCACCACTACAGCACTGTGACCTATCACCACAGTTCCTTGTGGTTTTCCCTCCCCTATTTAACAGTGTTATTCAGGGGTCCTTTCCCCAATGCTTGGTTTGTAAACCTGAGATTTTGTAAACCTGAGATTTTTCTACTGAAACTTAACTGCTGTAAATTCTTTTTGAACTTGGATTTCTTCCTTATGTGTTTGTCCCTTAAAAAGAAATTATCATTTCTAAATAAATGGGACCAAATGAAGGATTTCTTGTCTTACCTTTACTTACTGACAAGAGAAGATTGGGATCTCTTGGGTGGAATTTCAGCTCATTGATAGCATTTCCATGGCCAACATAGTGCTACAATTAAATTTCAAACATTTCAAGTTTCATATCTAAAAATCAATAAATTCTTTTTCATTAATCTTAGTTTTACTTAAAGTAGTATTTCTCAATTTTGACTGCTTATTAAAATCACCCAACAAACATGAAGGTAAAAAAATGCTCAAATCACATCTGTAGATGTTCTGGTTTGATTAGATTAGCTGAAGCACAAGCAAGTGCCTTTAAAAGATCCTTAGATAATTCCAATGTGTCCCCAGGGATTTGTAAAAGTTCTCTGAATACCAACTTTCAACTATTTCACCATTTTGATTTATTACAAGGGACTTTTGATTTGGGTATCTTAGAAAATGAACTCAGTATGTTACTGTTCATTTAGAACTTCTCAGAATAAGGAGGGAGGTAAATAATTTAAAGAGAAAATCTTGCAGATAAAATTTTCCCACTTATTCTTTAATATGCATTACCCAGATGTGACAGGCATCAAAAGACTTTTCTGAAACAATAAGCAAAGTACAAATCAAATTAAAAATTTTACACTGGATCCACTAGTTTAAAATCCAACATTAAAAAATTTTCAGATATGCATGAAAAAAAAGCAGAACTATAATTTAATCCGACAACCTACCTTTATGCACTGCATTGTTATGGGATTAATTATCCTAATTATGCCTCTAGATCCAGCCACAGCCAGTAGAGGATGGCTTGTATTGCTATCGTATGTCCATGCACAAGTATAAAAATTTTCATCAGCCTAAGAAATGTCAGTTAAGAAATATTGTTTGTAGAGGAGGCAGCGAGGGGAAGAGGTGGCGGCGCCGAGGAGAAAAAAAAAAAAAGAAAGTTTTTGAAAAGTAAACACACCAATGATTACAATAGTACATGGAAACCCATTTTGCTTTTATACTACCAGATTTAACCTCTAAAATCTATAACAAATAAACAAATCTAAGCCTTCACCTCAATTTTGATTACTTAGCTGTTTGTTTACCAACTAAATGCTATTATAGCAGCTACACGACAATAAGTGAATGGTGACAGTATACCAATAAAACTTCACTTATTAAAATAGGTGGTCAGCTCCAAGAGTTGTAATTTGCTGACTCTTGCTATATTTTAATACTTCTGACTACATGCCTCTTGATCAAGATTAGTAACTACTCAATTTTGCACTGTTTCCTATGCAAGACGTATCTCAATACGGCAACAAGTCATTTATTTCTATATCATCTAGGGGAGACTAATGTACCTCTCTTTTCTTGTGTGCTGTTTTACAAATGGATCTGGAACAAACATCTTCAAACTTGGACAGATGTCTAACCCTTTGCCTTTTTAAATCTTTTTCCTTATGAACCCACGTTGCAATACTTCATTTTCTAAACTGAACTTCTAATTTTTAAAAAAAAAGATTTATTTATTTATTTATTCATTCATACATACATACATACATACATACAAGCACTGGGTACAGTCAGAAGCGCGGGAGGGTGAGAGAATTCACCAGAGCCAGAGCGGGGAGCAGAGCAGGCAGAAGGACCGAAGTACACTGCTGAGGGGAGCAGCGGGCGGCAGGAGAGGTCTGCGCGCCATGTGGGACCCTCCTCCGGTGGCCGGGGAGCAGCCAGGGATCGAACCAGCACCTCAGAAGCCACGGGCAGCTTCACAACCCAGCGCTCAACCGCTGCGCCACCGGGGAGGCCCTGAACTTTTAATTTTTTTGCCTATAGGCTGTGTTGATCAAATACTTGGCAAGACTGCCAGTCACAGTTTCTGATTAACCCAAGTTATCAAAATACTATCCTAAATTGACAAAATTCTATTAAGTCAAAGAAACAGGAGCTTTTAGTTACTCTTTGCAACAACTGTCTATTACTGAACTTCAAATGCTCATCTTTAGCCACCTAAACCTTCCTATTACACCCACCCTACATGGATTCCTAGGGATCAGAAAACTACAAAAATTAGTTAGGAGAAATCTTTTGGGTGATGGTGATAGTTACGCAAGAGGATTCGGATAGACAGGACAATGTAATTTTAAAAAATTAATCAATTTAAACAAGTTTTGGTGTAGTTATTTAAAGTCAATTTCTTTAGCCAAAGATATTAAAAGCCCCAGAAAAGGATACATCAGCATCCACATAAGATTGCAACAACCGGATTTCTCCTTGTGAGTGACATTCATATAAGGTAACCTAATGAAAACAAAAATACAATAAATGTTATTTTAAACAAAAACACTCTCTTCAGCATTTAAAATTACTTTAGTCACAGATGTGCATTAATATACTATGGAGGGCTTCCCTGGGTGACACAAGAGGTTAAGCACAGCACTTCGTTTTTTGTTTTGAGATTTATTTATTTATATAAGCACTGGGTACAGTCAGAAGGGCGGGAGGGTGAGAGAATTCACCAGAGCCAGAGCGGGGAACAGAACAGGCAGACCAATGAAGTACACTGCTGAGGGGAGCAGCGGGTGCGGCAGGAGAGGTTTGAGCGCCCTTTGGGATGCTTGCCCGTGGCTGGCGCTGCAGAAGCTGCAGGCAGCTTCACAGCCCAGCGCTCAACCACTGTGCCACCAGGGGAGTTCCAAGCAAAGCACTCTGAAGCTATGCACAGCCTCTGCAGCACGAGTTCAATCCCTGGCCAGCCAGGAAGCTACCCACATGGAACAGCAGACCTCTCCTGTTTTGCCCACTGCTCCCCTCAGCAGTGTATTTTAGTCAGTCTGCCTGTTCTGCTCCCCACTCTGTCTCTCACCCCCCACACCTCTGGCCTGTACTGCAGCCCTTGTATGCATAAATAAATGAATCTTTAAAAAAAGATAAAAATACAACAGAAACTATTGCCTTAAAAAGCTCCTTTAGACTTAAGGAAGTCATAAAGTTTAACGCATTATATAATTTTCTAAGTAATAACAAAATGATTTCTATCTCCAATGCTTATAACATACCTTAATTGCAAAAGTTCTTCTAAATGAGTAATACTGAATACCTCAAAAGGTGAAAATACCTTATAAAGTATAAATACTTCCTAAATTTGTAGTTTATCATCCTTTAATTAGGTTCTTAAAGTCTTAGGGAAGGAGTGAGACAAAATGGCAGCAGTTAAGAAGATGAGCTCATCCCCTTGATATTGCACAACCAGATTGCAGCAGAACAAAGCCAAAACCACCTGAAGGAAAAATGGATGACCATACACATACTAGAAGCAACACCAGAAGAAAGAGGAAGGAAAAACTGTAAGTGACCTGTGTTTACAGTGAGGCTGGGGTACTACAACCTCCAAGAAATAGTACAACCCGTAAGAGGGAGAAACAGCTGCACTGCAGAACCCCTTACTGGCTCAGGGGCACATGCCAACATTAGGATCATCAGACCTGGCACTACGAAAAGGGTGTACTATTGGGGGAGAGCTACAGGCTCAGGAGTACAGAGTTAGGATTACTGGTCTGAGCCTGAGACTCAGGCCCAGAACAGCCTAAAGCCTGAAACAGTAGAAAGAAACAGGTTGGAACACCTGTCTCCTCACAGAAGAGGCTACTACTAAAGCCAAGACTGGGATAGTCAAAACACCTACCACCTCACACATCAGGGCTAAATCAAGAAAAATGACTATTTGCGTAAACCAGAATTTAAGCACCTTGTTAGTAGTAGAAGAAAAAGCTCCAGGATAAGTCCTTGTGCTGAAAAACAGAAGAAAGTAACTGCCAATCTACTGCACCTATCAACTACAATCTGTGCCTGTTGCATCTGGTGCTCAATAGTAGTCTAGAAGTGGAGGCTGACACATGACTATAATTGGCGCAAGGGGTTTAGATGCAGCACCATGAAGCTATCCACAGCCACTGCAACAGGAGTTCGATCCCCGGCCTGGGAGGTGGCCCACATGGCGCAGCAGACCACGCCTGACTCGCCCACTGCTCCCCTCAGTAGTCAATCTGCCTGTTCTGTTCCCAACTCTATCTCTGGTGAGTCCTCTCACCCTCGCCCCCGTACCTCTGGCCTGTACCCCAGTTCTTGTATGCATAAATAAATCTTAAAAAAAAAAAAAAGACACTAACACTGAGGAGTTGCCCTAGGGAAGGGGATCGCTATGGACCCACACATACAACTCCGGTACCCACAGCATAGTAAAGAGCTTGAATCCCTGATTCCCACTAATCCCTTGGGGCCCAACTACACTAGCCCTTTTTTATCTACGACTATGCTTTTTTTTTTTCTTTTTAAAAGATATGTTTATCCTTTACCAGAACCAATTCTTCCATTACGTCAACAGGTGCAAAGACAACAATCTAAAAAGTCTACCTCTATCACAAGCCACAAAAAGTAAAAATGAACAAACAGAAGAACACAGCACAAATGCAAGCTTCTCAGTGCAATACAACTGTAAAATATGACTGAAGAGGACATGAAGATAACAGTTACAACAGCACTTACAAAACACAAAACAATGGAGAAAACATCAAGACCAAATATGGGGCAGTTACAATTACATGTAAAGGAGCTAAGAAATATTATAACTGATTAAGAACAAAAACAATTGAGGGGCTTCAACAAGCGGACTAACACAAGTAAACAAAATGAGCTGAAAAGCACATTGTCCAAGAACACACATACAGGACAAAGAGAGAAAAAATAATAACAAGAATTGAGAACAGGTCTTTGAGATAACCTAAAAAGAAATAACATCTGCATCACGGTGGTCCAGCAGAAGAAAAAAAAGGCACAGAAAATTTATTTAAAGAAAGAATTGCTAAAAACCATCTCAATGTCAAAACCAAGCCACATAGGTATCATCCAAGAGGCCCAAAGGATTCCAAAGAAAATACTCAGACAGAGGCCTCCCTGGTGGCACAGGGGTTAAAGTCTCAGCACTATCAAGCTTATTGCCAGCCACTGCTGCATGAGTTCCATCCCCAGCCAGGGAGCTACCCACATGGTGCAACAGACCTCTCCTGTCTTGCCCGCTGCTCCCTTCAGCAGTGTATTTCAGTAGGTGTGCCTTTTCTGCTCCCCACTCTGTCTCCACACCTATATCTCTGACCCCCGCACCGCTGGCGTAGACCCCAGTTCTTGTATGCATAAATAAATACAATAAATCTTAAAAAAAAAAAAAAGAGAGAGAGAAAACACCCAGACAGACATACACATTACACTAATACTGCAGAAGTCAACAGCAAGGATAGAATACTAAAAATATCGAAAGACAAAAGGGTAGCCTATAAGGGAACATCAATCAGACTGTCAGTGACTTGGTCAGTAGAAACATCACAAGCACAAAGATATTGGCAAGAGACATTTGAAGTACTTAAAGAAAGATTTCCAAGACAGAATCCTTAACCCAGCAAGATTAAACATTCAAGATAGAAGATTTCAGGAACTTCACTGAAAAGCAAAAACTACAATTTATTAACACCAACCTACAAATGAAAGTAGTCTTATAGGGGTTCTTATAAAGCAAAACAACATATACAGAGTTAAGGGCCTCCCCAGTGGCGCAGCGGTTGAGCGATGGGTTGCGAAGTTGCCCGCAGCCTCTGTAGCGCCGGTTTGATCCCCGGCTGCTCCGCGGCCACTGGAGGAGGGTCCCACATGGCGCGCAGACCTCTCCTGCCGCCCGCTGCTCCCCTCAGCAGTGTACTTCGGTCCTTCTGCCTGCTCTGCTCCCCGCTCTGGCTCTGATGAATTCTCTCACCCTCCCGTGCTTCTGACTGTACCCAGTGCTTGTATGTATAAATAAATAAATAAATCTTTAAAACAAAAAACAAAACAAACAAAAAAAAACAACCAAAAAAAAAATACAGAGTTAAGAGATACATAAATCATGCAACCTGGAGGAGTAATGAGGCCCCATCTGAACAAGTTGGATACCAGATCATTGAAGAGATCACACATATAAGCCCATCAAATACTAATGTCAGCAGAACCTTCAAACAAAAACGAACAGAAATAGCACAGCAGACACATAGAAATGAAATTGAAAGAAACAAAACATATAAGACCTCAAAAAATTAAAAACACAAACCAAAAAAAAGGGCAATGAGCATCTATATCTCAATAACCTTAAATATAAGTGGCTTGACAGTTGCTAAAGTTCAATATCCATTTATGAGGAAAACCCTCAAAATACTTGGGACAAAAGGAACATACCATAACATTATAAAAGCCCTATGTGTGTGTGTGTGTGTGTGTGTATATATATCTCTCTATAAAATAAATCTTTAAAAACACATATATATTTAAATATTTACATGCATTTACACATATTTAAATATACATATATTTAAAATAAATATATGTATTTTTCAAAAGATTTATTTTATGGATACAAGAGCGGGGGTATTGGCCAGGGGTGCCAGGGGTGGGGGTTGAGAGGATTCACCAGAGACAGAGTGGGGAACAGAACAGGAGGATCTACTGAAATACTCTGTTGAGGGGAGCAATGGGAGAGAGAGGAGAGGTCTGCTGCGCCATGTGGGTTAACACCCTGGCTGGGGCTCGAACTCATGCTGTAGTGGCTGCTGATAGCGTCACAGTGGCGAGACTTAAACCCCTGTGCCATCAGGGAGGCTCCTAGCAACATTCTTAGTGGTGAAAAACTGAAATCCTTCCCTTTAAGGTCTGGATCAAGACAAGATGTCCACTCTCATCACTGCTTTTCAATATAATACCAGAAGTCTTTGCGAGAGCAAAAAGGCAAGAGAAAGACATATAAGGAATTCAAATAGGGAAAGAAGTAGTAAAACGACCACTGCTTGCAGATGATATGTTAACATATAAAGAAAATCCTAAACAATCCATGGAAAAATTAATTATAATAAACCAGTTTTTATCAAAGTAGCAGGTTACAAAATCAATAAACAAAAATCAGTAGCCTTCCTATTTGCAAGCAATCAATCTGAAGAGGAAGAAATTCAGAAAACCGTACCATTTACAATTATACCAAAAAATTAAATACCTGGGAATAACCTAACAAAGGAGGTGAGTGACCTATACAAGGAAAATTACAAAAACATTAAAGGATATAGATGAAGACACAGTGAGTGGAAAGATATCCTTCTGCTCATTGATTGGAAAAATTAACATTAGCAAAGTGGCCATCCTGTCAAAAGCAATTTATAGATCCAGTGTGATCCCAGTAAAAACCTCAATGGCACTCTTCAAAGAAATGGAACATATATTGTTGAAATTCATATGGAATCACAAAAACCTGAAATAGTCAAAGCTATCCTGACTAAAAGAGGTAAGACTAGAGCTATTATACTCCCAGACTATATTAAAAACATCATCGTACTGGAACAAAACCAGACATACAGACCAATGGAATTTAACCGAAAGTCCAGAAATAAAGTCACACATAGATCAACTAATCCTGGACAAAGGAACAAACAACATAAACTGGAACAAAGAAAGTCTCTTCAAAAAATGGTGCTAGGTGGGTCTCCCTGGTGGCGCAGGCAGTTAAGCATTGCACTGTGGAGCTGTCCGCAGCCTCTGCAGTGTGGGCTCGATCCCCGGGCAGGGAGCTACCCACATGGCACGGCAGACCTCTCCTGACTAGCCCGCTGCTCCCCCTCAACAGTGTATTTCGGTCAGTCTGCCTGTTCTGTTTCCCTGCTTTGTCTCTGGTGAATCCTCTCACCCTCCCACGCATTTGGCCTGTACACGGGTTCTTGTATAAATAAATAAATCTTAAAAAAAAATACTATTTAAAAAAAAAATGGTGCTATGAAAACTGGACCAACACATGTGAAAGAGGGAAACTAGACTACAATCTCACACCGTGCACAAAAAACAACTCAAAATGGATAAGACTTGAATGTAAGACTTGACACCATAAAATATATACACAAAAACATAGGCAAAAGAAACCATCACATACACCTCAGAAACATCTTTGAGGACTCATCTCCAGAAGTAAAGAAAATGAAGAAGATAAACAGCTGGGCCTACGTTAAACAAAAAAACAAAAAAACAAAAAAAAAAATCAAGGACTCTAAGAGTTGGCTCTTTCAGAAGATAAAACAAAATAGACAAATAATCACTAGCTAGGTTAACCAAAAGAGAAAACATTAATGAAAAAGAATCACAAACAACAAAGGATAAATTACCACAGATAATACAGAAAAACAAAGAATAAGAAGTTATTATTATGAACAATTATAATCAAAATAAATTCAACAATCTTGAAGAAACAAATGATTTCTAGATTAATATAATCTACCAAGACAAATCCAGGAAGAAACACATGAACTCAACAAACTGATCACAAGCATAGATTTGAAGCAGCAATAAAAAATACCCCCCAACAAAAAACATCCAGAAACAGAGCAGATGGCTTTACAACTGAACTTTATAAATTTTTTAGAGAAGAACTAATGCCTATCTTGCTCAAATTGTTTTTAAAAATACAAGAGGGAATACTCACTGATACACTTTCCAATGATAACATAACCCCGATACGGAAACCAAAGACAGCACAAGAAAAGATTATAGATCAACAAGTCTGATGAACATCAACGCAAAAAATCTTTAACAAGATACTAGCAAATCAAATGAAACAAAGTTATCAGAAGGATTATATACCATGATCAAGTGGGATTTATCCTAGGAATACAATAATGATTTAATACGCATAAATCAATGTAATACATCATTTGTTTTAATGCAACAAAGGTAAAGATAACAGTCATGATAATATCAAGATGGAGAGAAGGCTCCAATAATATTCAGTACCCCCTTATTATTAAAACTCTACACAAGACAGGAATCAAAGGAACCTACCTCAACACGATAAAAACCAAGTATCAGAAGCTATCAACCAATATAATACTCAACACTGAAAAACTGAAAGCTTTCCCTTTAAGACCAGAAACAAGGTAAGATGTCCACTGCCGTCACTTTTGCTTAACTTGGTATTAAAGGTTTGGGCCAGAATTATAAGGAAATAAAAGGACTCCAAGTCTGAAAAGAAGTGAAACTCACTACTCCAGTCATTACAGAAAATCCTAAAGATTCCTACTACAGAAAAAAACAGATGAATACAGCAAAGTGATAGATAACATAATCAACATACAACAATCCATTGCTTTTCTTTCTTTTTCTTTTTTTAAAAGATTTATTTATTTATGCATACAACAGCTGGGGTACAGGCCAGAGATGCGAAAGGTGTGAGGATTCTCCAGAGACAGAGTGGGGAACAGGACATACTGACTGAAACACACTGCTGAGGGGAGCAGCGGGCAAGGCTGGAGAAGTCTGCTGCCCCATGTGGGTTTCTCCCTGGCTGGCTGGGGATCAAACTCGTGCTGCAGAGGCGGTGGACTGCTTCATAGTGTGGTGCTTAAACCCTTGCGCCACCAGAGAGGCCCCACTGTAGCTTTTCTTAATGCACTTTATATACAATGAAAAATGAGCAAAAGACATTAAGATGACAACTCCACTTAAAATTCCTTCAGAAAGAATTAAATACATTCAGAATTAACCTAACTAAGGAGTTGAAAGACCTGTAAGACATTACTGACTTTAGTGACATGGGGGTAGGAAGGACATCTCATGCTCACAGATGAGGGAAATCAACATAATCAAAATGACTATTCCACCTATAAACTTTAAAGTTTATATACCATAATCCTCATTAAATCTTCATTAAAATACCAACAATATTTTTCAAAGAAACTGAATATTGAAATTAAAATGGAAGTACAAAAGATTTTGAATTGCAAAAACAATTCTGAGAAAAAGGAGAGAAATGGCGGTATCACGTTACGAAATTTCAAACTTTACTAAGAAGCAACAGTACTTGAAAACAGTACGGTATTGACACAAAAATGGATATGCGGATCTGTGGAACAGATGTGAAAGCCACAAATAAACCCACATGTAGGTGAACACCTAATCTGTGATGAAAAAGCAGTTATGGGGGCCTCCCTTGTGGGGCAGGCGGTTGAACGCAGCACTGTGAAGCCATCTGCAGCCTCTGCAGTGTGGGTTCGATCCCAGGCAGCCGGCAATATACCCACATGGTGCAGCAGACCTCCCCTGACTTGCCCGCTGCTCCCCTCAGCAGTGTATTTCGGTCAGTCTGCCTGTTCTGTTCCCCACTCTGTCTCTGGTGAATCCTCTCACACCTGGTGAAACCCTCTCACACCTCTGGCCTGTACCCCATTCTTGTAAAAAAAAAAAAAAAAACTATTTAAAAAAAAAAAAAAAAAGGCAGTTATGACCATACCATGGAGAAAGGACAGTTTCTTTAATAAAGGTGCTAAGAAAATCGTAAATCCACTGATAAAAGAATGAAGCTGGGTCACTTCCTAACTCCAAACACAAAAATAAATTCCAAATGGATTAAAAATTTAGATATAAGATCTGCAACAATAAAATACATAGAAGAAAACATTAGTGGTATTTTGCATGACTTCAGTGATTTTCTGGTAGCTCAACCACTATGGTAAGGGAACTAAAAATAAACAACTGGGATTACCTCAAGTTAAAAAGCACGTATACAGCAAAAGAAAATATGGAAAGACTAAAAAGAGACTGCAATGAAGAGAGTATCGTACAATACATATTTGATAAGGGGCTAATATCCAAGATACGAAACTCAGAATTTAACAATAAAAAGCAAACATTCGTATTAATAAATGGGCAGCAGATACAAGAGATAATTCACCAAAGAAGATAAAATAATACAATACACATGCGAAAATAATGCTCATTACTGTTTCCAATGAGAAAGATTCCAGTTAAAACAATGACCTACCATCTCAACCGGTGAGAATGGCACAATATTAAAAGACCACCAAGTGCTGGAGAGTGTAGAGAAAAAGAGGATGTCTATTATTCTGCTGGTAGGAATGTAAAATGGTAGAATCACTACAGAAAGAAATCTGTATTTACCTTAAAAAACTAAAAATGGAAGAAATGTACAACTGAGCTACCCCACCCTGGGCATCTATCCAAATATGAAACCCTCAACACAAAAAGCCACATGTTCCACAGTGTTCACAGCAGCATTATCTACAATAGGTAGGACACAGAAGCAGATTAAATTTCCATCAGTAGAGGACTGGATCAAGACAAGCTAGAGTATCTGTACTATGGATGAGTACACAGCCATAAGAAAGGATGAAATGATGCCATTTTCAACACAATGGAGGAAGTTTGAGAAAATTATTAGCAATAAAACAAATCAGAACGATAAAAACAAATACTGTATATTTAGCACTGTAAAGTCGAAGTTAAAAAGGAAGGGGTTAGGGAAAAGAAGAAGGGGTTAAAAGGGATGGTGATGGGGGGAAAAACAGTCTAAAAGTGAAATTTCTTTTCCAATGATACTACATGACTTAATAAAACATGAATGATTATGGAAAAAATAAAATAAATACATGATCTAACTGCTGGAAAGAAAAGAGCAGAGGAAAAGAAAAAAAAAATCTTACAGTAGTTATAAAGCATTTATGTATTAATTACATAAGAAAATATATTTTGCCTACTAATGACTACCTCATGGACACAGCTCAAATGTTAACTTTCTGAGGTATGGTGGTCCTTTTAATTTGCCACATAATCTAAAATGAATAATACAGATGATATATAGCATTTATGATTAACTAAATATAAATTTCTTTCCGCCTTTTTAATACCTATAATCATGTTAGCAATAGCCTGCTAAATAATCATAGAAGAACTGAGTGTCTGAATCATCTACCACTACATATTAATAATCTCATCTACATTAATATTTTTGAAAAGTATTCCTTACAGGACTGTTGACTAGGTTATAGTATATTTTTTCACTTTATTTTTTTAAAAAAGTCTAAACTTTTGGGGAAAAGTACAAAATATAAATAGAAACCTGTTTCATAAGCAACCGGGAGAAAAATATGAAATAAAGATGTATTTTAAGTCATTAATACTAGTTTTGATCTGACAATTTCTAGAAAGCTTTACTGTTATAACAAAGAATACTACTGTCAAAAGAGCTATATAAACTTTCTTTGAAAATCATTACATTTCAGTATTTATGAAACACCAGAATCTGATAATTTAGTCAAATGCCAAAGAAACCCTTTAATACTCACTCTGTTACTTCCCACAGTTGCAAACACTAACGGATCTCCTTCTTTACTATGCCAGTTAAACTGAACTCCAAACAATGGTTGGTTATGATCTTCCTATAAGCATGAAATCAATAAAAAAATTAATATATTTTAGAAATCAAAAAACAGTAAAACTGACCACCCCCCAATAGCTTTTTCCCAAAATGCAAGCTGCTCTTTTGTATACAAAAAGTTACCTTGACACTAAAAAGACATCTACTAATTTAGTTTCGACATTTTCAAATATCTGTATATAAGAGTTTTATAACAACTTATTTAACTGAAATCAGAAGTTAGGTAACAAGTACTCATCTATGAAAATATTTTGATATTTGTCTTCTACCTTCTTAAAATCAATGACAGACTTCTGAATCAAAATAAACAAGCAAGTTATGACACTATTTTCCTGAAATGGGAAACCAACAAATGACCTAAGAATTAATATAGCTTGGCTTGCACTCACTAAACTATTATGTTTATTTTTTCCCTGGTAAACTGATGCATTTCAGTTTACAAATTTTCAAATTACTACTTTATATTAGTTCTATAAAAAACAATTATAAATTAATTGTTTTATAATGAACTAGACTACTTGGGTATTGGGGCACATAAAAGTCAACAGATTATAACTTGACAGTTACCAGAAGTTGTAAAGAGGAATACAAAAACTCACTGTTATTCACAAAGCTATTTTTTTAGCTTTAGGATTTCACCAGCAATCTCTTGGTATTCAATAGCAGCTTTCATAGTCAGTTGAACACACTGTTTTCACTGTTTTTTAAAGATTTGTTTTTGCATACAAGAACTGGGGTATACGCTGGAGGTAGTAAGTGTGTGTGTGTGTGTGTGTGTGTATACAGAGAGAGAGAGAAGAGAGAGAGAGAGAGAGAGAGGGAGAGAGAGAGAGAGAGAGAGAGAGAAAGGATTCACCAGGAAGAGTAAGGAGCAGAACAGGCAGATCTACTGAAACACACTGCTGAGGGGAGCAGTGGGTAAGATAGGAGAGGTCTGCTGTGCCATGTGGGTAGCTTCCTGGCCAGGGATTGAACCCTGTGCTGCAGTGGCTGCTGATAGCTTGATAGTGCTGAAACTTAATCCTTTGTGCCATCAGGGAGGCCCTGCTTTCACTTTTAAAGTGCAACAACTTTTATTTCTATCCTTTGAAAAGTCACAGCTTTAGCTTTTTGAAATATTTAAACAGCAGTTAAAAACACCCATGGATATGCTACCTAAACATAGTTCATATAATTAAATATTGACACAAATGTTATTTTGCTGCGTTTTTTTTTTTTTAAATATCCTGAGATATTCCCTTTTTTTAAAGACACAGTGAGCAATGAATACTGCTCCACCACAGGAAAATAATTTCCACAGAAGCCATAGCTTTCTTGAACTTTCTGAAGACTACTTAAAATTTTTTTTACATCTATTTCAATGTATGCTGCTTCAAAGTTAACAGTTTTCAGTAACAGGTACCAGAAAGTGGGTTATATTTACAGGTTATTTCAAATTATGAAGAGTACCATTTCCCAAAGTCTTTTATAAGTAAAAGCATAAAAAAATTAACCAGGCGACTTTACTAGGTATTCCTCATTTAAATTAAAAGAACAAAACAAAACAAAAACTAACCAAATGTAGATTGGACTATAATCACTATGCAATCTGCATTGCAATAAAAACTTCAAAGTACTGTATTTTAAAACATTTAAAACTTGACAGAGTATCTTAATCACAATGTTTACCGCTGAGAAATAATTCTGCAGTCTACTAATGACTGCCACTTACCTTCAGACTATTGACACATTTGAAGGAGTATTTGCATTTCTTTGACTTCCATTTTCCCTTCCCCCAACTTTTTCTTCCGGGCGCGTTTGGTGTATTTGTAGGTGTATCAGGGCGCTCAGTGTTGGTACCACTTTCAATACTGACAGCATCATCCTGTGAACAGTAAATCAAGAAAAATTATATCAAACAGCAATAATGTATTTAGTAGCAAATGACTTTGTATTGGGTAGTTGCTGATTGAACAAAATGAACTTATTAATAAATTTTACAAGTAACAGAAACATGTACTTCTGTCTCCAAGTAATGATAAAAAGCACCTGCTAACATCAGAATTGCCAGTCACTTTGCCGCACTGGCTCACTAGTCTTCATGGCTTTTGACTGTCCCAAAAGGTTCTGCTAGATCACGAAGTGCTGCTTAGAGAGCCTATTTGGTCTCCTGCTGGTTAGGTTGCTGGGATTCAAACCCAAAACTCTGGCTCCCAAAACTCATATAGATGAAAATCAGATCTGCATAATTACTTTGCTGCTCAATTTGGAGCACAGCGGTGGGTGACTTTGAGGCTGGAGTATTAGCGCTCCCTACTTTAAATGCAATTCTGAAAACCCTGTTATTGTTCAAATTCTGCTATTTTTAACACTTTAGTCATTTAGAATTTTTTTTTAAGTTCTATATATTTTGTGCTACTTGTAAGTGAAATTTACCATACAGCTCTACGGTAAAAATGATATTCATAGTAGAACTTCAGTAACTCTCCCTCTCTAAAGTAAAATTCTCCTAAATGTTGGGCAGGATACTTTGAAAATCCACTGAATTTATACCCTCTCTCCAGTCCACCAGCTATATTAGTGGCCCTCAATCCTCAGAAGTGATTTCACAACCTCCTTTTATTACTTAGTCCTATAAATTCTTTGGGAAAAATATTTTGTTTTTAAATTTTATATATTTTTTTACATCATTTTCCATTTTTGCACAGTGTACGCATTTTCATCTTGTTATAGTCTCCGTACAATTCCCATCACCACCACCCTTGTTTTGATCCTACTCCCTCCCCTCCCCACCCAGTGTGTCTCTGGTTAATAACTGCTTGTTGATTTTGATTTTTACTTTATTATAATTGGTCTTTTTCCTGGAGGAAAAAAGATTTCTTTAGCGTAATCATTCCTAAATTCATTCTAGAGGAAGTCTTTTTCCAGAGAGCACCTATATTACCTGTTAGAATACAGCCTATGAACTACTTACTGCCTTATGGATTATTTCTAAATGACTATTTCTAAAGCTAGTTTTATATTACTGAAGGTTAAAAATTAATTGGAACGTCAAAAATATATTAAAAATTCATATTAAGTGGCTTAAAAACAATGTTATACAGCAGTTTCTTGAGAGTGATTTCTAAACCCTCAAATGGTTCCAACCAAAATGACATGCTTAAAAAAAAATAATCACAAAAGGGCCTCTCCTGTGGCGCAGCAGGTTGAGCGCAGCACTGTGAAGCTGTCCACAGCCTCTGCAACGTGGGTTCGATCCCGGCCATACAGTGAGAATCCCACATGGCACAGCAGACCTCTCCTGTCTAGCCCGCTGCTCCCCTCAGCAATGTATTTCAGTCAATCTGCCTGTTCTGTTCCCCACTCTATCTCTGGAGAATCCTTTCACCCCCTGCACCTGTGGCCTATACCCCAGTTCTTGTATAAATAATAAAAAAAAGTTTAAATATATGAACTGTAATTTAACATAATCAGTATAGAACTAGAATTATAAAATTTTGAAGTTCATTCCTACTTTGAAATAACTTTTTCTATTATCTTTCAACTGTGTTTATAGTTAAAATTTAGTGTAGAAAACTATTTTTTTCCTTTCATCAAACCACTGTAGCCTATATCCACATACCTGCAAATTTTGAAAACAGTTTTGTTTCCATGGAAAACCATACACTATAACTGTCTTCACCATCTTTGAGCATTCTTAAGACTCTTTAGAATATAGGTTAATAATGTCCCTGCAAATGTCTTTCCGACCATTAAGAAAAAAAGGTTTGTTTCCACCCGCAATTTCATCACTCCTTTCATTATTGATATACATGTGTACTGTTGGACACATCTGCCTGGATACCAACTAAGTAAAATAAAAATTTTAAATGTGTTCATTTATCATTTCCTAAAAAATTATCTTTCACTAGAGAAATAAAATAAAACTTTAAGACATTTGTATTCCAGCTCCCTTACATTTTGGTTAAAAGTCTACTGCTAATCAAGAAGCCATGCAGAGAGAATGCTACTAGGACATATTCCATGTTTTTATCTACTCTTGCCTACCTCCTCCAAGTGGAATCAAGAAGGAATCAAATGTAAATGCCACAGTCAAAATGTTTTCATTTAATCTAGAAATGTAATGAAAACTTTGCTTAATAGCTAGTATTGCATACAGGCCTATTCCCCCTTGGCCCCTCCTCACTGGAAGGACACGGTGCCCCAGACAGGGGACCACCGTCTTCCCTGCCAAACAAGGAAACAGACAGGGATGGTCATTTGTCTCTCTTATTTCTGCCACAGGGTTTACTTAAGCAAAAGTCTTTGGATTCAGCCCGCTACTCTTACCACCAGGCAACCTGGAGTACATGTCCAGCAGCTACTCTGCAGTTACAGGATCTTAAAAAGGCCAAAAACAGGGAGGTGGGGATATGCATACAATAATTTTTAACAGGCCCTTTCAGTGATGCGATTCACTTTAACAGCAGTCCCTGCGCAGGTGACCGCAGCTTAGCCTAAATAAAGGAAAAACGGTCCCAAAATGGGAGTTTGTGCCAAACCCCATCAGAGTTTAATAACTAACTTCATTGTAGTTTTGTTATAGGACAGCCCCGATATTGAACGGGTTGCCTGGCTGTGGGTCCTCACCCGCACGCTTAAAAGGGACTTATTAATACTCCACTACAGGCACACACAAGGTTAATAAAAGGTTTATTTACAAGGGAAAGGGAATTAAGGAAATGTACAACTCAGGGAGAAAATAGGGAAATAAAGTCTTTAATGCGTCCTACCCCATCCGAAGACCTGGAAACCCAAAGTCACTCTCAGAGCTGGCTGGACGCTGCGAGCTGGTGGAGAGCCAAAATGGGGGACCCCTCCAAAGCCCACGTGTCTGCCTTGTATCAACCTGGCTGTTTAACCCCACCCTCAGGTCCCAGCCACCTTCCCTTTGGTGGTGATGGGATTTGGAGTTTTCAGTGTCTTTGGCTTTGGCCTGGGGTCGGGGTGGAGTCCACAAAGCCTGTATGGAATTAACTTTAGGACATCCTTTTCCCCCTAACAGTTTCAGCTCCTCCCCAATGTGAAAATGTAAAGGAATCAAGGAAGAATTTCTCAGCCAGCACCGGAGAGATGGTTGGCCCGATAAGACCGGCCTTCCCCTAGGGAAGACGGCCCGCCGCTCCTCCCCCGCCCTCTCTTGAGAACCATCCATTTTGTGCAACTCCTGGGGCGCCTCTCCTGGGCCGCAGTGAGATGCTCTGGCTTCACGGAGCTGTCAGTTAGGCGTCTAGATTTACCCAGATTTTTTTCTTTTAATAACTCCAGCTCAGAACTACCACATCAGTCCCCACTGGCGTTCGGCCCTCACGTGCCCTTGGGCCCCGAAGGCTGGGGGCGCCCCCTCGGGGAGCAGCCGGGGAGAGCCGAGACCCGACACCTGGCGTCGGGCGCCCGCCGATCACACGCCCTCCGGGTCTCCGAAGAGAAAACTAGTTTCCAAAGTACTGAGACTTCTGCAGCTTCCCTAGTCTCGAGTCAGCGACCTTACCTGTGCCCCCATCACAATCTTCGTGGGGAAATTGAAGAAAATGCAAAAACAGGTCCCAAGACGGGGCCGGCGCGGGTCCCGGACGCAGCCCTGGGTTGAGGCGAGCGGGCAGGAGATGCAGCGCCCCAGAGCCTCCCCGGCGGCCCGCGCCGCCCCCAGCACCCCGCCATAGACCCCCTCCGGCACCCAGGCCCCCCCACCCCCGCGCCGGGGACACGGGGCTTCGGGCCGCGCGCACGAGGGTGGCGCTCACGCCTGAGGGGCCGGAGCGCGGAAGGCGCGACCTCGCGCCACTCCCCCGAACGCCCCGGGGATTTCACACGGCGGCGGCTGTCACAGCCGGGTACCGGGGCTCATGTTTGGGGCGCTCTCTCGAACGCGCGGCCGGAGTTCCCCGGCCCGGGGACGCCGAGATCCGCCCCGAGCCTCACAGGAAACCTGACCCCGAAGCCGCGCGCGCGGACCCCGCGCCGGGGACACCCCGCTCTTCCCGCGCCGCCGGGGGGTCCGGGCCGCCGCGTCCCTCCGCCAGACTCGGAGAGGAGCCAGCGCCCCTGTCCGCCCTCGCTCGGGGCCGCCGGCCTCCCCCGCTGGGGGTGCTGCTCCCGGCGGCGAGCGCGCCCCCCGGAAAGTGAGTCCCCGAGCCCCGCGTCCCGCGCTCGGCCGGCCGGCCCCGGGGTCGCGCCCCAGCAGGCGCGGCCGTCCCGGAGGACCCGCCGCGGGCCCTGCGCCCCCCGCCCCGCCGCGCCCCCCAGAGCGGCCGGGCCGGTCCCGCGGTCCCCGAGGGACGGGACCCCCCGCGCGCGCCGCCCTCGCCCTCGCGGGACGCAACTTCGCCCGGGCCCGCGCGCCGCCGCCCGCCGCACTCACGTTCTCGTCGCCGGAAAGGTCGGGGTTGCTGTTCTCGTCGCTGCTCAGCTTCTGCTTCTTGGCCGCGGGCATGTCCGCTCCCGCCGGCGCCGGCGCCGCGTCCCTCTCGGACATGCTCCGCCGCCTGCCCGCGGGCTCGGGGCCGGGGGCGGGGCCGCCGCCACACCGCCGTCAAGCACGCCCGGCCCGCGCCCGCCGCGCAGCCGCCCCCGCTGTCGCAAACCGCGCCCAGCCGCCGCGGCGGGCGAGCGTGCGGCCCCGCCACGCTGCTGAGAGAGGGGCGCGCGCGCGCCCGCCCGCCCGCGCCCGGCCCCCGCCCGGCCCGCGCCCGGCCCGCGCCCCCCGCCGCCCGCCCGGCGCCCCGCCGGCGCCCCGGGGCGCTGCCGCGCTCGTCCCCGGCCCCACCGCCGCCTCGGGCAGGGAGGGGCGCGGCTGGGGGCGCCCCCTTCACCCCTTCCTCCTCAGGGAGCTCCGGCCGCGGCGCCCAGCCCTGCGGTCCCGGCCGCCGCGAGGACTCCCGGCCCGCGGAGCGGACCGGACCACCGCGTCCCCGGGGACGGCGCGAGCGGCGCGCTGGCTCCTCCCGTCTCGGCGGCGCATGCCGGGGCCCCGCCTCCGGGGCTCGGGGGAGGACGCGCCTCCCCTGTTCGCGGGACTGTCCACGACTCCGTTTTTGGCGGAAAACGCGCAGTCCAAAGCCACACTGCGCCCGCTCCCCCCCCGGCCGCCCAGTGGAAGCGTCCCGTCGGCACTGCGCATGCGCGCAGCGTGTTCTCGCGCTGGGTCCTCGGGCGCGTCCTTCAAGCCCCGCCCCCTCAGCCAGGCCCCGCCCCTTCGGCCCGGCGGCGCGGCCAGGTGCGCGGCCGCGGGGTCCGGCCGGGGCTCTCCGCGTTGCCAGGACACGGCGTCTACGCGTGCTGGAAGCCCCGGGGGTGTTCTGACGGGCGCCGACAGCTATGGCGCAGGAGCCTCACCCCGTTGCTGCCAATACCGGGTAAAGTTTAAGTAGGAACATCCTAAAACTACGATATGATTCTAGGCTAGAAGAAGTTACCACTCAAAGCGCCCTTTTTCTTTTTTTCCTTTTATAGATTTTTTTACATCATTTTTCATTTTTGCACAATGTGTGCATTTTCATCTTGGTTAGAGTCCCCATACAATTCCCGCCCCCCTTGTTTTGATCCTACTCCCACCTCCCCACTTTCCCTACCCTCTCCCCGCGTGTGTCTCTGGTTTATAGTTACTTGTTGAGATTGATTTTTACTTTATTATAATTAGTGTTTTTCCTGGTCCCTTATTTAAGTTTTCTAGATTCCTGCTATGAGTGAGACCATCCGGGATTTTTCTTTTTCCCTCTGGCTTATTTCGCTGAGCATGATCCCTTCCAGCTCCATCCATGTTGCTGCAAATGGCATGAGTTTATCTTTTTTGATTGCTGAGTAATATTCTGTTGTGTATATGTACCACGTCTTCTTGATCCAGTCGTCTATATATTACTTCTCCAAAGAGGAAATGTGAATGGCCAACAGGCATATGAAAAAATGTTTAGCATGACTTGTCATCAGGGAAATGCAAATCAAAACTACAATGAGATGCCATCTTACACCAGTGAGAATGGCATATATTAAAAAAAACTAGCAACAACAAATGTTGGCGAGGGTGTGGAGAAAAAGGAACTCTCCTGCACTGTTGGTGGGAGTGCAAACTGGTCCAACCACTATGGAGAGCTGTGTGGAGATTCTCAACCTACTAAAGATAGAGTTTCCATATGATCCAGCAATTCCACTCCTAGGTATTTACCCAGAGGACACAGAATCATTAATTCCAAAGGGCACCTGCACCCCAATATTCATAGCAGCACTATTTACAATAGCTCAGCTATGGAAATCGCCCTTTTTAACCAGTAAAAGTTTATGAAGGCCCTGAATGAGGCTTAGGCCTAAAAATCAATGGTCCTTTCTCTGTATGACACTGTGAGACTTAAAATGATGGACAGTGTATTTTGACACACCAGATGCAATAAAATATGGAGGGCAGCAACAAAACTGTTAACACTTCACCAAAATGTTTGTTTCTATGTGTGTTAGCATATCTTGGGGCTTGATAGGTGCCAAATACAGCTTCATGAATTTGTTTAAAACACAAAAGCAAATGAGCAGCAGGGTAAGGAGAAGGATGGCACAAACAGAAGGCAGTCATGTAGCCCCCCTCCCCCCCATTCCTTTTAGAACTTAATTGTGCCTGCTTATCTTTCTGGGCCTCATTTGGTCATCTGTAAAAAGGAGATAGGAAGGGGCCTGCATTTCATGAGCACCTACTTGATCTCTATCTTTTCTCTTTTGCACTTCATTACATCACCCAATGGATAAACTTAGAGAGTTCTGCATCCACAAAATTCTAGTGTACTTGAATTACCTCTGTGTGATGGCTTTAGAAAGTATCAGTTTCATTCTCCAGATTGCAAGTCACTTCAACTTGGAGATAAGAAATTTGCTGAGTGATAAAAGGAAGGTAGGGCAGAATGAAGACTAGGGAAAAAGAAGGTAAAAACGTTAAAGTTTAGGCATTAATAAATTTGGGTCTTCTATGTGCCAGACACTGCTAAATACTCCTCCATTGGTGACAGAGAAATGAGACTAGAATGGAGTCAGCCAATGAAAAAGTAAGATGTGTTTTGTGTGACATTTCCATGGACAGAGATAAACATACTCCCCTAGTCAGTTAAGAATATTTGTAAAATATAGCTCTACAAATAAAGGATAACCAACTAAAGCATTTCCAATTCAAATTTCTCCGTGTGCCTGGGACCAGTGGGAGCTGATAAGTGGGCGTCAAAGCATAGTCATAAAATCAGAAAAGTGCTGAACCTTTCGAGAAAGGATACATATGGGAGGAAAATGCATGTCAATATGCTGTGTGCAACAAAGCTAAAATGTTTTTAAAAGTTTTATCAAAATTTTAATTATTTTAAAAATTATTTTAAAATTTTTTCACATGAGTCAGGTATAGTACATTGAAGCTAGTTAATATTCATTATTCATGTTAAACATGTATTCTGTCATTTGTTAAAACAGTAAGGAACTTGTTTCCCGGATTTTTGTAGTAGATGTCAAGACTATACTAATAAGAGAAAGAGGTAAGGCTCAGCTCTGACTACAGCAAGATCAAGTGGGGGTTTATTGTTAAGAAGCAGAGGTGAGGGGGGTGGTGAAGGAATTCAGGACATGCTACCCACATTATGCCACTTTGAAATAGTGATTATTTTGAACTCCAAGCATTTGAAAAACTGGTTTTCTCTGAAATCCCCTTGACTACTTACAGAGAGATCCTCCAAAGGGAATTTAGTTATCATAAATCCCTTCCCCAGGAGTTTCATCAACCAGGAAACTGACTAACTCTACCACCACAGAAAAGGAAACAAGAAATCTACCCCACAAATGGACAAATTTTGTCACATACTATCATACTTCCCATTTATGCTAAAGGTCCATTCATTTCTCAAAAAAATTATTCCCCGATATGGAATACACCCCCTGGCCCTTCCCTACTGAAATAGCGTAAGTGCGCAGATCTCACTGCTTTCCCCCTCTGCTATCCCCCTGTGCAACTATATTAAAAATTAATAAGTTTGTACACTTTTGTTGTCAGTTTATTTTCTAGACACAGGTCACCTACCTAGGAGGGTTTGATACCCTATGGGGCATAGTTGGTGGATGAAAAATTACTAAAAGGAAACATCAAGGATGGTGGGATTCAGGTGTAGTAGAGTGCACAGTGTTAGTATCACTTTCTATACTGACAACACACTGGATTGTGCCAGTCACTCACCGCATTGGATCATTAGTCTTCATGATTTCAATCTTCCCAAAAGGTACTGCTAGATCACGAAGTGTTGCTTAGAGAGCCTATCTGGTCTCCTGCTGGTTAGATTTGCTGGGATTCAAACCCATAGCTTTGGTTTCTAAATCTGAATGAAGTATAGATCGTCAATTTCCTTGACTGCTGCTCAATTTGGATCGTGGGGGTCGGTATTTTGAAGTTGGAGTGTTAGTGCTCCCTACTTTAGATGTACTTTCTGCAAACCCTGTTAGCCTTCAAATTCTGTTTATTTTTAATGCTTAAGTCGTTTAGAATGTTTTTTTAAGTCCTACATATTTTGTGCTACTTGCAAATGAAATTTACCTTATAGCTCGAGAGTAAAAATGATATTCATATTAGAACTTCAGTAACCATATTACCACGTGTTGCTTAATGATATTTTGTGTATAATGGATCATGTATGTGACAGTGGTTCCAACAGGCTACACCATATAGTTTAGGTGTGTAGTAGGCTATACCATTTACATTTGGGTAATTACACTCCACGACATTCACAAAGTCACCTAGCAATGCATTTTTCAGAGTATATTTCTGTCATAACTATAATTAAGTAAAATCAGAGTAGGGTGATCAGATATCAAGGGTGGGGATCCTCTCTAAAATACTTAGGATTCTTTCTTTATATTTTTTTAAAGATTTATTTATTTATTTATTTATTTATTTATATAAGCACTTGGTACAGTCGGAAGCGCGGGAGGGTGAGAGAATTCACCAGAGCCAGAGTGGAGAAGAGAACAGGCAGAGTGTCTAAGTACACTGCTGAGGGGAGCAGTGGGCGGCAGGAGAGGTCTGCGCACCATGTGGGACCCTCACCCAGCGGCCAGAGATCGAACCGGCCAGGGATCGAACCAGAGCTGCAGAGGCTTCGGGCAGCTTTGCAGCCCAGCGCTCAACTGCTGCGCCACCAGGGAGGCCCAATACTTGGGATTCTTTATACAAGAGGAGTAGGGAGCTCCAGACAGAGCTCAAGCGCAAGACTTAGTTGAGAAGGTGACTCAAAGGGGATTGACTACAGTTTGGTCAAGGAGAGAGTGTTTACACTAAGTGAACATAAGTAAAAACATCACAGATATTCTGTTTAGCGCACTATCTTTATGGTATTTATAGGTATATATTTTTAAGATTTATTATTTATTTATGCATACAAGAACTAGGGTGTAGGCTAGAGGTGTGGCGGGGGAGGTGAGAGGATTCACCAGAGAGAGAGTGGGGAGCAGAACAGTCAGATCTACTGAAATACACTGCTGAGAGGAGAAGCAGGCTAGTCAGGAGAGGTCTGCTGTACTCTTGGGGTTCGCTCCCTAGCAGGCTGGCCTGGGATCAAACTTGTGCTGCAGTGGCTGGCAATAGCTTGACAGCACTGTGTCATTAATCCCTGCACCACCAGGGTGGCCCATAATTTAATGAATATAAAAGAATACTTTCCTATTTAAAATCATAGTTTCTCAACATTTAATTTTACCCTGAAGGGTTTCAGGA